TACCAGTAGTGGTGTATAAAGATCTATTAGTTACTGCCAGTAGTGGTGTATAAAGACCTAGAGGTTACTACCAGTAGTGGTGTATAAAGATCTATTAGTTACTACCAGTAGTGGTGTATAAAGATCTATTAGTTACTACCAGTAGTGGTGTATAAAGATCTATTAGTTACTACCAGTAGTGGTGTATAAAGATCTATTAGTTACTACCAGTAGTGGTGTACTGTATAAAGATCTATTAGTTACTACCAGTAGTGGTGTATAAAGATCTATTAGTTACTACCAGTAGTGGTGTACAAAGATCTATTAGTTACTACCAGTAGATCTAACTTAGCTTGTAACATACCAAGCAGTCACTTTGTTTAGGTCCTACACAACCTCCAGCACAAAATAGATGACAACACTCTCTCGGATTTAGGCCAAAGCACCGACCTTTGTAACACTGGAGTGAACAGTTGATTTTTGAAAATTTCTGACAATTGTGTGGCCCTTCTGCCCAACAGCCCGAAACACAAGACTGATCACAAGGTGGACCTACAGATAAAATATAAAAGTTAAGCAAACTTTTCTAAGAATAGTTACTGCAAGCCTTAATTTGTTAATGTATGAAGTAAACAATATCAATATTATTTACTAAAACTATATAAATCATATTGTTTAAAATAACCTCATAAATGTTCAAACAAATGTTTGAAAAATTAAAAAAAATATTTTGGTTGCAACTTCATCAAAACTACCCACAAATATTAGATAGATATGTAAGTCTTGTCTATAAAACAACACAAAATGAAAAAGTACTAAAAACACAAAGTACACAAAAGTAGACTCTATAAAAAAGAAACATTCTACAGATCAATATCAGCTCTATATCAACCAAACATGTCAGACCTGATGTAGTTTAGTTCTGATGGCAAAAAATTATTACCCTAAACCTTCACAATATGCAAGACTTAAAAGTGCACGATTATTTTAATTAAATATAATTTTCAGAACATTTTATAGCTAAGTTAAATGAGCCTATGTTTTAAAAATAGTACCAAAATAAGAACATGACAGCCATTATCTGCTGACTAGGACTTAATAAGCTTACACTTCCATTCTCCGAGTGTTAAGTTGTAAACGTAAGTGAAAACAGCGTCGGATCCAGAAAGAAGTTCTTGCCACTGTATAGAACGTATGTGGCAAAGGTTATGGTTGTTAAAAAACCCTACACTGCCACTAAGAATTTCTGTAAAACAAATGAGAATCCAGATTGTGATTAAGGGACTATTTATTTTAATTCAACAGAATGTAGCACATTCTCACTACCAAACATTACCTAGACATCTTCAACCTAACCATGATAAAAAAACTTTATAGTCATTGTGTTGATATATTAAACAGAGGTGAAGGTCCAGATAGTCATTGTGTTGGTATATTAAACAGAGGTAAAAGTCCAGCTAGTTATTGTGTTGGTATATGATTTAATGTCCTGTGAAGGTCAGTCTGCGAGTTAGGTAAATAATAGAAAATAATATCACATGAATTGTAACAAATCTATAAGTATTATACTTTTGGTCATGTAAATCACTCCTATAAAATTACATAGTAGCACCAAAACATAGTGTTTTAAAGTTTAGGCTGTCGGTGGTTTCAATATATGTTTTAACTGTGTTGTATCTTAATTATTTATTTTTGTAATTTCATAATCTTGTTTTAATCTGTTCCATTTACTGTGATTTTCTTTACTAGCTTTTTAACTGACACACAGTATTGTTCTTCCAAATTTTTCATTATGTTAGAAACAAAATCTTCCTGATGTATATTATTGTGTTTAATGTCAGAATTATTGTTTGTTTCAGAATTGTATTTCATAATAAATTATGTAGTTTAAACTGCTGTACATTAACTTCTATTGATTGAAAAAATTTTTTATTCAATAATAGTTTAGCCAGTTTTTCTCAGTGGAGAGACAATGACTAGCTGGAACTTCACCCCTGTTTAATATATCAACACAATGACTAGCTGGACCTTCACCTCTGTTTAATATATCAACACACTGACTATCTGGACCTTCACCTCTGTTTAATATATCAACTCAATGACTATCTGGACCTTCACCTCTGTTTAATATTACATATTTGTTTTTAACTTTTATTGTTTCTAATACTTCACAATTGTTTTTAGTAACCAAATTGTTAAGTTAAGGTTGAATTATCATTTTACCCCAAAAACTTGTGTTGTCTTTACATGTTTTACTATAGTTCAATTTTAAGTTTTTCTATTTCTTATATAACCTTTAAATTCATGTAATGTGCATTTTAAGTTTCTCTTACTTTTCTCATTACAAATACTACCACATTTACATTATATTTTATAAATCCCAGTTGCATCAATTAGTTTTACTTAACTTTAGCATTACCCAAAGTTTGACTATCTTAGCCATAGGTTTGAAGATAGGATAATATTTTTGTTCTTTCTTAAATATATATTAAATAGTTGACCTGTTAATCTCGGAATACAAGATCAATTTTTTTTCTAGTTTTCTCATAAAAATATTTTAATTCCCACTGAACCATTACCACATTTATTAAATGCTCTATCAACAATATACAGTTTAGGTCTTTTTGAACCGTTATGTATTTAATTAACTAAATCTTCCTACCTAGAACATATTTTCAAAGCTGCGTAAACAAAAGTACAAAAGTTTTGTGATGTATTATCACATGGTTCTTAATGTGGCAGTACAACAGAAAAAGATTTTCTATAAACCAATGTTTCTAAATTACCATACATATCTTTTTAACCATTACATCCAAAAACAAAACTATTATTTTCATACACAAATTGAATTGATGGTTCTAAATAATCAGCAAATTCTTTTACTTTACTGTTGACCTGCCACTAAACCAAGAAAACGTGATCCAAGCCTCTAGTTTAAACTTTGTGTTACATGACACTTTATTTTGTTGTTGTTTGTAAACTGTCAGTTAACTTAGAAAAATGTTTTCAAAGTTTGAGATTGAAGAGGATGCACAAATTAAAACTAGTTTCTATAATTTTAAATCTTTTGATAGTTTCTTACATTTATCACAGATTCTTCACTAGCTGAGAAAAGATTAAATTGTATATCCATAGATTATAAAATTAAACAATGAACATACTATTTGAACACACATTTCCATATCGATACTGAACTCGTGCAGTTTTTTCATATTTAAAGCTGGATCTAAATATTTTATTTCAAGGGATATTAGCAGATTTTAACAAGGTTAATTTAAAACAAAAATAGCTTTGGAAAAGGGGGGAGTCTATTATGGTCAGGGCACAAATTCAGTTGTATTGGTCAGTCTTTGTTACTGTCAGTAAACAAACTCAGTTGATACTGTTCAGTCTCATTATTATCAGTACACAAACTCAGATAGTGCTGGTCAATCTGTATTACTGTTAGTACATAAAGTCAGTTGGTGCTGTTCAGTCTGTATTACTGTTAGTACATTAACTCAGTTTGTACTGGTCAGTCTGTATTACTGTTAGTATATAAACTCAGTTTGTACTGGTCAGGCTGTATTACTGTTAGTATATAAACTCAGTTGGTACTGGTCAGTCTGTATTATTGTTAGTATATAAACTCAGTTGGTACTGGTCAGTCTGTATTACTGTTAGTATATAAACTCAGTTAGTACTGGTCAGTCTGTATTATTGTTAGTATATAAACTCGGTACTGGTCAGTCTGTCTTACTGTTAGTATATAAACTCAGTTGGTACTGGTCAGTCTGTATTATTGTTAGTATATAAACTCAGTTGGTACTGGTCAGTCTGTATTACTGTTAGTGTATAAACTCAGTTGGTGCTGGTCAGTCTGTATTATTGTTAATAAGTAAACTCAGTTGTTGCTGTGATACTTGAATAATCTTTGCGATTACTGGTTCTCATTACTGGGTTAAAATGTTTAATATGGGACAATGATACAGTTTTATGATGTTTGTATTTTACAACTGTTAAAAGTTTTAACTTATTATTGTCAGATAAAGTTAGAAATGATGTTGTCTGGTTCGACATACCTCTCAATGATGGCATTTCCAAAGTTTTTATGTTATTGTAAGAGACTATCAAAGCAAACCCTGTTGGTTGTTTCTGAACCTTGAACTGGTTTCGTCCTCGGATAATCATTAACCTTGGTAAAACCACTCGCCTGACTTTTACATATGAGATTAGGATATATCCTGTTACTTCTCTAATGTTGTGCAGGAAACTTAGATCAAGATTTTCATCCTGAAGTTATAAAAAAAATAATGAAGCTAAGATATTTTATAAAAAATTGAAATGATCATACAAACTTTTAGTGACTAAGTTTAATACAGAATTGAGGAAAACTGATTTTTAGTTTTCTGTTTCTTCTGTCTACATTAGATGGTAGTTTGATAGATATACGCTACATTTTCTGAATTTGAAATATAGGTTGAATAAAATATCAAAATGCTGAAGAGTACTCACGAAAGTGCAGTATACTTAAAAATAATGATCAATAAAAACACTATTTCTTTTTGTTTGAAAGTTAATGAAACAGTTCTAACTGCTTTCTCCATATTTTAAGATTTATTTGATATTAATATTTTTTATTTATTTTATTTATTTTATTTTAAGTAATCTGTATCATACTAAGCCATTGTCCTGAAAACACCATCATAATTTATGTAGTTCTAGAACATAAAACACAGTAATGTGTAACAGATATCCCGAGTTCCAAAGTTTCTTCAGTATATATTGCTTCCTCCAATTTGTAATTTATGTCAAATAAGATTCAACTCGCCTTCAAATTGTTCCTTTTTCTGGTTATTAATCAGTACATAATAATCTACCAATCTGGCTTGGTATGAGTCTATTAAGATTTATGAAACATTAGAGTTGTGTATTAAATAAATCCAGTGTGACTGAATGAACATTAACTAACCACATGCTAACGATATGAATGTAAAACAAAAATAATACCTGTATTTTCACTGAATTCATGAAAAAAAGAGTACTATATAAGTCTTTAATTAAATAATGTTAAAGCTCGTGGGCCAGATAATATTTACCCAAGGGTTTTGAAGGAGGTTAAGGATTGGATATGTGAGCCACTTACTACTATTTTTTAGAAGTCCTTTAATATTGGCTAGGTTCCAGAGGATTGGAAGTTAGCTCCTCTTTTCAAGGGAGGTGATAAAAATTGTCCCAGTAATTATAGACCCATTAGTCTTACATCAGTTGTGGGAAAAATTAGGAAAGTCTAATAAAAATTGCTTTGCAAAGTCAATTAACAAAGTTTAGAATTTTATTGGATAGTCAACATGGTTTCAGTAAAGGAAAATTTTGCCTTACAAATCTTTTGACATTCTTTGAAAAAGTTATTGCTTATATAAAAAAAAATTTGACAAAGTGCCACATAAAAAGTTTGTAAAGAAATGATCTGTAAAGGTGTGGGGGATAAGTTAGCTAATTAGATAGAAGAGTAGTTTGATGGAAGAAAGGAAAGGGTTGTTATAAATGGAGTTCAGTCAAGCTAGATTAATGTCACAAGTGGGGTACCTCTGTCTTAGGACCTTTGCTCTTTTTGATTTACATGAATGACATAGATGAAGGAATAGTCAATAAATTACTTAAATTTACTGATGATATTAAGATCTTCGGTGTTGCTGGCTGTCTGGAGGATACTGCTGCTTTACAAAAGGATTTAGATCATTTAGTGAGTTGGGCAAATAAATGGAAGATGGGTTTTAATTATAATAAATGGAAGATAATATATGCAGGTTATCATAAATTGAATGGGAATAACCTTAATAGTGTTATGAAGGAAAGGGATATTGGTGTAATAGTTGATCAGTCTCTAAAGCCATCCAAGCAATGTGCTGCTGCTAGTGGTAGGGCAAGTAGGATTTTAGGTTGTATCTACAAAAATACTGAATACAAGTCTATAGAGGTTATAATTTCATTGTATAGGTCACTGGTTAGGCCTCATTTGGAGTATTGTATCCAGTCTTAGGCTATTTACTTTAGAAAGGACATTGAATTTTTGGAAAGGGTTCAGAGGAGAGTTATTAGATTGGCACCTGGGATAGAGGGGTTGTCATTTGAGAAGAGTTTAAGATCTCTGAAATTGTTCTCTCTTGAAAAAAGAAGAGTCAGAGGGGATCTGATTGAGGTGTTTAAGATTGTTAAAGAAATTGATAGTGTTGATGCATCATCTTTTTTTTCATACTTAATGGTGAGAATGGTCGGACTAGGGGACACAAATATAAATATTTGGCAAGATATGAGTCATCTTCAACTAAGACAGTTTTATTTTTTTAACAGCACTGTTGGCTTTTGGAATGGGATACCTTCAGATGTTGATATCTATATGAATGATAATGGCTGGCTTTGAGGTTTGTTTTTTATTTAAAAGTTTTAGTTTAGAGGATGGGACAGCCTAGATGGACCAACAGGTCCCTTATTGTCCCTAAACATTATATTATGTTATGAAATATTGAAGAATCAACATATTATCAAAATGAGAGTCATTAATTTATGACATAACAGTTATGATTGAGCAGATATCACTAAATTACATCACTATCTAACTAACAGAGTTAATTCATTAGCTCAAACCATAACTTAATGTGATATAATTCATATAATAAAAACGAAAGGCACAAACCTCTAACCAGGTCAGTTCTAGGTTGCCATCAATGTAAGTACAGTTTGTGTACCTGTCTCGTATATTTTGATAATGTTTTTGTCGATTGGATGGCACAGACATATGAGACTCCGTACCTGTACAAACTGGAGAAAACAAAACAGTTTTAATTTGAACAATGAACTTTCTCTTAAGTAAAAACAAAATGATCTGCGCATCTCACGTTATCATCTGTACAACAAACCTAATTTAAATGGTTTAAACGATAAGCCGAATAGTACTAAAAATATTACAACAGACTAACTGATCTCTACACTGAACTGGGTTTTGAATTAGCTAGTGTCACTGTATTGATATTTTACACTTAACAGTAGACATACTGTTGGTCCCTAACTGTCAACCATACTAATCACAAAGATATACAAGAAATGGTTGAGTCCTTGGTAATATTATAACTTGTTGTAAAACATTAGTATAATGCCTATTATATATTTTTTTATAGTGGATTCTTTATGTAGTCATTTGGAATTTTCAAGACTTAGAAGAGGATATACTAATAGTATTCTACAATAAACTTTATTTCAAACAAATTAGACCTCTGGCCCATTACATCAAATCAACATTTCTTTTATATTTATTTAAAGTGCTTTTTTTAGTCACACTGTCGTACATTTTTGTTTTATTCTCAATATTTTAGCTGAAATCATAGTTAAACTATTCAGTATTTTTACATTTTGATTTTTAATAAGAGTTATACTTATAATGACTAGGTTTAAAATAACATTTATATATACAATCATTAAATTTTGGATAACATGATGCTCGTCTCCTACAGCTTTTACTTCTTTTACAAGCAATATTTACATCATCTTTCCGATGCATCGATATTTTTATAACAGCCTACTTCTGATTTGAAATATGTAATCTTGCCAAAGCTGACCTTTTAAACTTTCCAAACTGTATGAATAAATACCTTTCTGGTTCTAAAACTGAGCTAAGGGTAACAATTTATTACAATAAGATAAATCTGAATACCAATCTTCATCTCCAGCCTGTTGTACTTCCCATACATAATCGATATGTGAAAAGATTGTGCCTTATTTTACTTGCCCATGTTTTTCTTCTATATCATAACATGCTTTAAGTCAATGCTTTACACTAAACGGCTTAAGGTTGATTCCCACATTTACAACACTCTTTAAGACCAGTAAGGAATATTTATAAAATGTATTTTTTCTATTGTTAAATAATCAGTATCTCCCCATGTTTCTGTCCCATACAAACAAGTTGGAGTTACCGTTTTCATATGACGGTATCATACTACACACCTTTTCAGCTTGTTTAATTACATGTATGTTTGTCTTACCCATTGCTAATGATACATTTTGCTCACTCTAGAGCTCATCATGATGATTGGAATAGAACAAACATAGTTGTTGGAATACTAATTATAGAAGCCATTTGTTACAACGATAATTGTAATGGTGTGCATAAATTTTCCAAGCTGGTAAAGTATGTTATAATAATTACATCTGTCATAAGATATTAATAATAAACCTATTTTAATTTTTAACAATACATTATTTATCAAGCACTAGAACTATGTGTGATACCAGTTTATTTCATTTACTTATTTAATTTTGTTATAACAAACTATGTAGTAATACAATTCAACAATTAAAAAACTTTATGTAATAACAAAGTCACACAAAACTATATAGCAGAACACCAACAGAAATTTTCTCAGAATAAACAATTAACCCAATTTTCAACAGTTTGATAATAGGTGCCCAAGAAATGTAAAAATCAGAGGGAAAAGTATTATCTCTCAGGTGAAAATTTTAGTTTGTTTTACGAAAACATTTTTCAAAATATTCAAAGCAGAACCTAGAGAACTTGGTTGGATACCACTTGTGTTTTCAAATATTTACAACCCATTTTTTCAACAGATCGAGTTGTCTCCATAGAGGGCTGTATCAAATTTGAAAATGCATGAAATCAATTAAGCTGACAATCTCCATTAATGATAAAACTAAAAGAAAAATGAGCTTAAAAACGAAATCACATGCTCTCAAAAGTTAAAATTAGCCTCACTTAAGTAATGTTATTGCCATTAGGCCTTAAGTTACTATATCTAACAGTGTTATATATTGGTAGTAGCAAATCAATTCATATTATTTACGGAGGAAAAAAAAACAAGTAAAATATCACAGGACCAGTTTTGGGTTTATTGTTACAATTCCATGCATGTTCATTGGCATTTTTATGGTAAATACAGAATGACCACTTTATAGGGTCAGTGCTCAGTCCAGTTCATCATAGAAATCAGTGGCTAGACGAGAAAGTCAGAACTATGGTCTTGATTTAGGGAGGTTCTCAAGAACCACATGCTCAATATAAACATTTTACAATCCTACCCGTTTCCCCCACATCTAATTCTCAGGCATCGGATCCATAGATCCCAGCCTTGGCACCTTGATCCACTGATCCTCGCCAGACCCTGTTAAGGCCCGTTTGCTTCATTTTGTTTCAATAACTTGTCAAAATTGGCTGACGACTTGCTCCTTCTTCAAAGATCAACTGGCCTTTGCTTCGCCTTGGACTTGCCTCCACTACTGCCTACTTGCCTCTCCGTCATACGACCATCCAATATATATATATGTATTTTTTTTAAATTAATTAATTAATTATCCTTCGCCCATACGGCTCATTACTCCACTGACCACTAATTGAAATGTAACCTTATGCCACGAGCAGGGTGAAGGAGGATTGTTTAATCTTCGAGCACTCTTGATTAGTAATTATTTCTTAGGAGCTAATTATTTTTAAATCAAAATAACTGCCAGGAAATGCTCACCACTTCTGTAATGAGGTTGGCACTCACCCCATTTCCCACTAGATCTAGCTGTGAGAGATGAAACTTGAAGTTTACTAATGTGTATGGCTGACTACACGTGTAATAGTGTCACCAGCACACAGATTTTATCAACAATGCTTCAGTACTCCACGCCTGGTTTCATGAAGCAAGGAAGACAGATTTCCCTTCAGTAACCACAAGTTGCCGAGAGGGTGGATAGTGGTAATTCGACAAGAAGAGCCTGTGGAGACCTGGGCTTTCTGCACACACCTACTATGGTCAGTTAGATGACAAATCATCTAACTATTGAAGTAAACTATCCAAGTGTTTATTATTAGAATAATCAATTAATTCACAAAAGCTTGCACTTATTCCACTAAAACTTCTACATTCCAAATGAGATATCCTGTAAAATGTTCTTAACAAAACAAATTGAAACAATACAAGTGTCAAGTTTAATAGTGGGTTTCATTACATACATTTTATATAATATACATTATGCATAAATTTGTTAAAGGTGGAAAACCAGGGAAATGGCACTTAAAAGACAATGTAGTATCCCATATACTTGTTTTTCCTAAACATAACCACAAGAAATCCATAGAGAATGGATCACTACAGAATGGTCAAGCCATTCAGACCCAAAAAAGAGATGGGTTGGAGAAGAGGGGAGCTGCAGAGCTTGGATTGATGTTAGCTGCGAGCAGGTGACCGCTGAAAATGCTGAATGTGAGTTTAAATCATGGTTAAATACCAATGATTATGATATGATTTGTTTGTCTGATGATCAGTACAAAGCTCCACAAAGGACTATCTGTGTTCTGCCCACCATGAGTAATGAAATACGGTTTCTAGCCTTGTAAGTCAACAGACATACCGCTGTGCCACTGGGGGAGGGGGGCATATGATATGATAACAGATAATGCAATCAATTGTTGAGTCATTATCATGGGGTAAATATGCCAATAGGAATCAACCTTTCTCCCCCTTATGTGTATGTACTATTTAAAATTTTCTAGATATAAATTGTACCATGTTTTGATTAATATACTGATTATACAAACACTGTCATGCAAACTAAGGCAAACTCAAAACAGTTGTACATCACAAGGTAATTTGATGATGATGTCATACATTTTTATACATGCCTAGAATGTTAAAAGAAGTTAACTCTAGTAGTGGATACCCTTCCACTCACTGCACATGAGTTAAACTATTATCATTATGACTTTAAGTGTACAGTCATGAAGCTCAGACAGCCTGTGGAACTCAACAAGCCACTTTCTCTACATACACGAACAGAAGTACCACGAAGTAACATCATGGCAGGAGACACACCAGGGGGTTTGATTTACTATGCACCACAAGCATTTGGAGGATCAACAACTAACAGACAAATTGTTGATTGTTCTTGTATGCCCCAAACATGTGACCCTGGGGATAAATGGTGACAGACAAGGGGTTTAATGTTGATGACTTTTTGTTCCATACTATGTTAAAGTAAATATTCTTACTTTTTTTAAAAAGAAAAACAGGATTATATTTGAAATTGTTTTGAAAGACCAAAAATTCCTTGCAAAGAGGTGCATAATGACAAAATCATTGGGCTGACAGGCATATAAAATCTTGAAAGAAAGCAGGTCTTATGTGTGGTTATCTTTGGCTACTCTAACTTTCAGTATCCAAAACTGCAAAGGTGCATTAATATTATAATAATTTATTGTTTGTTTGTTTGAAGTTAAGCACAAAGCTACACAATGGGCTATCTGTGCTCTGCCCACCACGGGTATCGACACCCGGTTTCTAGGGTTGTAAGTCCGCAGACATACCGCTATGCCACTGGGAGGCTCACGTATAACTATAACTTGAAATACACCAACACTGTATTACTAATATTAGTAATTTTGCCTTTATATTACGATTTATTATACTGGATATGAAATATTAATTATTTAGTTTATTATTTAATATTGTATGGTTCTGTTTACTTTTAATGCTTAAGTTAAAGTGCTTTTAACTTTTGGCTGTACGTCTACGTTTTTAGGCCTCTAGCCTATAGGCCTAGTATTAAATAAGGCCTAAGAAAACAATGGTAAAGATTACTTACTTTTACCTTTTACTTTTAACTAACTCTTTCTTTCTGCCAGACGGCTGCACCCGTCTTTTCTTTAACTCTTCTTTTACTTTCAGCTTTTGCAAGGTCCATGTTGCTACAACGAGGAACAATAAACTACAAGTACAATGCTTGAAACTTGGTAGATATTGAAAGAAACTCGGTATCATTATGCT